CGAACACGGTCTTCAAAAAATTTTTTGCAGACTACAGGTCCACACTTACTCTGGCGGTAAAAATAGGTTTTTTGCAAACTGCTCGAATCTTAACTATATCATGTAAAAGCGACTACTCTGGCTGAAAAATGTTCGTTTCGCTCGGCCATTCTTGATTAAATAAAGGTCACTCAAAATTCTAACTTCAATTTCATCAATCCAGTAACTGTATTCACTGCACCCAAAGTTTCTAGTTTTGTGATACGTTGCCTGTCAAAAAATCTGGCCTACTTATCCTTCTCTGTTCCCAACTTTCTTTGAAAACTAAGCTAATTTTTGATCAGTCCAGTGTCTAAACTCAGCATACAAAAATTATTACTGGTTTACCAACTGTGCCCATTTCTGAAATAATAAAAATAATAAAACAGTTGAAACAAAAATTCTTCCAGCCTGTCTCAGGTATCTTGGAAAATAGTTGCAATCCTAACCGTAACAAACATTCTCAAGACTTCTAGTATATTCGGAGAATAAGATTTATTACTTCTGCTTCATCGTTCTTAAGCAATTCTGCTTGTATTTAGTAAACAAAAGGGGATATCCCAGTTCAGAAAAAAAAATTTTGTCACCAGTTAATCACAGAAACTTGCAGTGATTTCTCCCGGAAACATTTATACAGCAGTAGGTTACAGAAGATCCAGTGCATGAAACAAGTTTAAAACCGCGCAACTTTATTACTTACATAATTCTCAATAAACTGTAGCAATAAAAACAAAAACTTAAAAAGTACAAAAAAATTTCCTTACAGGAAAATTTCAATACAACAGATGTGTACAGATGATTTACCTCTACATAAAGGCATATAACATTTTTGTTATTACAAACTAACCACAATTCTATATCAAAAAGTAATATTAACGACACAAATTTACAAAAAATTGTTCTCAGTGCTTCAAGAACTGCATCACAATGTGTACAGAGAAAAAAAAAAAAGGATTAGAAGACAGGGCTAAAAATATAGATAAAATAATCAGTCGGGAGAAAACTCAAAGAGGAAAGGGATTCGTGAAGAAAAAATTAAACGATGAAACAGAAACAAAAAAAGAAAACTTATCTTTCATCTATTCTCTTTTCACCTCTTTTGCTCAAATATTGCAAACAATAGACGATAATGCGCGTAAAAAGAAAAAAGGACGAGACCAAAGAAAAAAAATGAAGAAAAATAAACTTTTTTCTTTTAAATAATGAAAAGCAGGGGAAACTACCAGTATCAATAGCCCGGCTGAATATGAATGCTGTGTATGCAGATACAAAAGCCGCTTATTCTCTCACAACATACCCACAGCCGCATATACAGAGTTCTACCAAACAACAGTTGCTTGCAACTACATTCACAAAACCAACAACCTTTACTTTTTTTGTCCCAAATAAGCGGACCAAAAAAATGAGAACCATTAGTAACAGAGAAAAGACGACAAAAAATTAATATTTCCCTCTTTCCAAAAAAACCTAAATGCACAGACAATTTTTTTTCAGTTCCTCACACGCAGACACTTACTGTGAAACTGCTGAATGGAAAACAAGGAACTTGATTTTTTTTTTTCTGCTTTTGTACTCGCTCATCATCTACCGTTTTCTTCCTCTTTTTACAAAAACAATAACAAGATGCTAATAAAAATACAGATAACAGATGGCTGGGTCAACCTGTTCCTGAAGACCGCAGAGAAACTCAAAATTTTAGTCACACGAATGAAAAAACAGTAAGAAAAAAGCCCAGACCATATGCTAATAATTTATTTTGTAAAAGCAAAAAGGATGCCAATGCTTCCCGAAGAACAACAGGTATTAGAAAGTGGAAGAAAGAAAAGAAGGAACAAACCGTCCTCTTTTTTTCTCACCTTTATGATAAAGAAAGAACAGATATAGCCTTCATGAATAAAAAAATACCTTTTACCTAAAACGCCTTTTCCTTGTTTTCATTCTTCTCTTCAACATGTACAAATAAACTTGTTCTTTTTTTTTCATTTTGTTTCTTTTCCTTTCGCCTCTTTTTTCTAAAACAAATACGCACTAATATACAAACGTCTAACATTTAATCTTTTTTTTTTCGTAAAAATTTACAGCAATTTTACCGATTTATTATTTTCCTGGTTACTCAGCCTAATCTTTTTTTCTTTTTTCTATATTTTTGTTTTGCTCACTTCTCATTATACAAGCACGAAATTGATCGCCGGGCTAAACTTGAAATGACTGCTTAGAATTAAACGACTTGTCTTGAAAACGAAACACAAATAGTGTGAAGCAGCAGCACTACAGAACGAAATAATGTTGAAAAAAAAGAAAAAACAAAAGATTTAAAAATGGGAGCAGGCAGACAACGATAAAAGTCCAGGAGAAAGGTTAAAAAAAATGAAAGGAAGAAGCGAAAAAGAAGGGGAAGGACGGAAGACGGGAAGAAACAGAGGAATGAAAAAAAATGGGAGAAGCAGTGAAAATTCCACCGGGAAAACCAATTTCAACTGTTCGAACACCGGAAATTTTAGTTTACATCGGAAAACAATATCGCTGAGAAACGCCAGTTTGTACAAACAATTTCAGAAGCAGCATTCTGTTGCGTACACTACATCTGCAACCAAAATTCATCCCATATCCATCTGACTACCTAATTGTCCCTCTCCTTATAACCTAATCATCCCATCAATCAAACACCAAAAAAGGCAATCAAACGTCTAAAACCCCTCCTCCTCCCTCCTCGCATTCCACCACAACGACAACTGCTACCGAAAATTTTGACCGGAGAAATTATTATCCTTAACTATAACCGTAATAGGCGACTAACATAAACAACTAAACAGTAATTATTACGTACTTCAAGCTAACCAGTAATATTTTTGATGGTCCACCAAATTCACCGTATTTTCTCTTTATTCGAAACAAAAATTCATCACATTTATCACTTTCTTACTGAGACCTACCGAAAGTTGCCTTCCTGTTGTGTTTTGAAACCTGAACGACAACCAAAAAAAACTGCTGTTCTTCCATCCCTCCTTGAAAGCTATCATCAAATTTTGTTGTAAAAACCACCAACCCAAAATAAATTACTCAAATAAGCTTCTTATCAAAAAAATTTGACAGCAAATTACCAAATTGATTTAAGGGAAACAAGTATCAAAAAATTCCAATGTTAGTATCCCAAATAAAAAGGAACAGATGAGGAAAAGAATTACCGAACAGCAAAAAATTTGAATGAAAGCAATGCCTACACCAAAAACTCTTTTCAGATACTTCGTACCTACCTAATCCGTTAAAAAAAAATACATCTGAAAGAAATTTAAAAGAAATCACTACATCAAACTGGTACAAAGGTTTAAGGAGAAGATGGAAGAAAAAACCATACATGTGCGCAGAAACTTCATAAACCGCTACCACAAAAACGACGATTGTAAGGAATGTGGTCAGCACCACAACAACCATCAATAGCAACTTTTGGCATCAACATCAACTACCGAGAATCAAAAAACACTTCCACGAATTTGCAATAGACAAACCTGCCCATTCTTGCATCTGAAGACTTTAAACATCCAACAAAAAAAAACTTGTGTTTTTTTCATATAAAC